ACTACTACTACTACTACTACTACTACTACTACTACTACTACTACTACGGTCGTGGATATTTTTCCTAGGGCAAGTTATTCCCAACCCCTAACCAATTCGTACGATTCACTTCCCCTCAAATTTTGCACTACCCACTTGAAACATTGTTTGGAACAATGAAATCGTTGAGTTTTATACGCGTTTTTAAAAACGGTTTCCAGGTCAGAATCCTATGAATCAAGCAAACCTCAGGAGAGTTAAGTAAGGATTATAAAGGGGAACAATAGCAGACCAATAGGAAATTAGACAAAACACAACATCCCTCCCATTAAACTATTGACTATTCAAGGTGTTGGAATAATTTTGCCAAACACGTTCTTTATTCCCTCTCATTTGATTAATTGTATAGGATCCGACATTACCATCGAGTGCATAGAAACTAAAAACTGCATCGCTCTTAGTTAAATCACCATTAATGTCCCAGACGCCACCAGGAGAGAGCAGTTTGTGACAGAAGCACCTGGGTAGTGGACACCACGGCGTTCAGTAACTGTCATCCAACACTAGATCTTGGCAGCCTCACTGTCCGCAGCTCTTGCACGCCACTACTCAAATGTGAATTAAAATAGGGAAACCATCCCAGTTCCACCGCCTGGAAGAAGGAACATAGACATAGAAGTTGAAATCAACCCATTGGGCCAGGGGACCCCCCTAGTAAAAAGAATACCAAATTGAATCAAACAAAATGAACGACGCTGAACTGAAACCAGGCCCAACTAAACTGTTTGACAACTGAAATGCATTCTGTTTCTTCGCCAAAGCTGCAAACAGCCAGGCTGTGGATTGGTGGTCTTTGGGCATCATGGTCTTCGAACTCATGACGGGCGACACCCCCTGGGCGTCCGGGCGCCTGGCAGATCCTGGCAGTGGTTCCATTCGTCGCTCCGGACTGGAGGAAGGTCTGAGGTTTGGAGGGTCTTAAACTAAACACCTGCGACTGGAGCCCATCCAGGACGGGGATAGGTCCAAAACACCTGGAGCCCAGGTCGATCCACGATGTCGCGAAATAGGTGGATCGTGCCAAAGGTATCTTGGTGCCATGACCCACAGCCAAATCCTCACCATGGGATCTGCCCGCCCGTAGCCGAGTGGTCCTCGAAATGCCCTCGAAGCACCTGGACCCAGACAAAGCGGTTCTACAAAGCATCCTTCGAACAATCCGGAACCAGCTGTCAGAGTAGTTCGACATGCAAATAATATAATATAACTACACACACACAAAGCACCCGCCCCGAAACCAAGGACCGATCCTGCAAAGTACCACCCCCAACACACATCCAAACACCCAAAGGAGTCAATGGGAGGAGAAGAGTAAAAACTTCAAGGGGTTGGGCCGCCCGTAAGATGGTAGATGCTCCAGGAGGGGCAATCCAAATCACCAATGAAATGTGACCCTGAACTGGACAACATTTGGTGGTCTGAAAGACCATGGTGGTCTGAAAGACCATGCATGTTTGTTCCAACATCGATGGATACAGATGGAGACACAACATGTACCAGCAACCTTCAACTTGTCCATCAGGACAACAACAGATTACACGGCCAACCCCAGTTGTACCGCAGACTTCGAGCAAACTGAGCAATCATCAACAAAACTTGTGATCCACACATCTTTCCCACATGTTCCACCCTTCACCTGCCATGATGGTCACCACCCTTCACCGTGGTAAACAGCGGTTTCACCAGGACGAGCGACCCTTTTGAGTCCGGAGCTGAGCGGGCCTTGGGGACGTGGCAGATGCATGTGTTTTGAGTCTGTCCCAATCAACCTGCAACAGCAACACCCGGTAAACAAGCACATCAGCACATCACTATTTTTTGGAGATGGAAGGGCCTGCAACCCTGACAATAGGATGTACTTGATGTACCCAACATGTGTTTGACTACAAAAGAAAAGTGGATCACCTGCCGTGCATGTCACCTATGGCGTGGGGGGATTGGGGATGCTGATCATGATCCTCTGCCCACACACCACCCAAGCTGGAGAGCTACAAGCACAGCTACCAAGCATGGGGGCACGCACCGGGGCAACCGGCTCTTAAGGGCGACAGCTGCTCACACGCAGGGGAAATTGGGGACACCCCACTAAGAACAGGTAGAAAGTTTGGTTGACCTTCAAAAATGTTTTAGGGAAACCGAGGGAGTTCGACTGCGATGTAACATGGTTTGAAAGGTATACCCCGCCCATAAACCAACCAGGGTCGACTATCCTTTCCAATGGATACTCGTGTTTGCCTTGCAAGCTTGATACAGGCTAACTTTGAGACTGGACTGTTTCTTGGAATGGATAGGTTCTCAGGAACCCAACCAGTGGTTCCGGTCAGAAGCCAAGGGCAAGCAGGTTACGGTCGGTTACGGTGCCTTCCTCGTATCACAACTACAGAAGCTACATGAAGATGGTGGTTTGATGAGTGATGATGAGTTGAGAAACTTTCTGTATACATGGGGTATATACAGTATCTCCTTGATTTCTCTTCCAAGACCTTGGTCTTCCGGGTTTCCCTATCAAACAATACAGCCCAGCAGACATCAGCCAAATCCGGAACACACTGGCAGGATTGTGGCTTTGGCAAAGAAAGGCCTTTCTTTCACCACAGAGACCGGAGATGATGGTGGGTGAAAAGTGGGGTTCAAAAGACTCAGGGATTCAGTTCTGGGTTCGGTTCTAGGTGAAATCCAGATTTGGGTGAATGCTTGTATTCCTACGAGGACCAGGACCATCTTGTTTGGGTGTGAAGAGAGAAGTGGGTAGTGCAGCCAGGACACGCAGGCAGGAGGGTCCTGGTATATAGTAGCTTTGACAGATCGGGCCACTTATTTGATTAGCAAGCGCAGTACAAGAGGTATATACAAGAAAAGCCCTATCTTTACAGTATCAATCTGAGCCGGCTGGATTTAGGCACACACATGGCAATTCGCAGAGGATAGAGACCCAAAAACGCTCGCCGTTGGTGGTAAACCCTCGAGGGATTCAACCGACTGGCACTTTGTTGGGAGATGGATTTTGTGCCGACCAGAGTCAAGAGTCTTGCATGGCAGAACGTTGCTTCTCCATGCTGCAAAAGCCATATTTTCTTACAAGAGACCTAGAAGACCCCCATGGAGGGTGACCATGGAGCTTCTTCCTGTTAAGAAGGAAGTCCGTGGATCGTCGTGACTCATGGTACGTTGATCAAAGTGAGTAGGAGTACGATGAGAAACCATGTGATACAATGAATAATGACAATGATATATATATATAAGAATCAACATGAATCAAATACTGAGGTGGTGTAAAGACAGGTGGATCCCCACACCTACGCAGGAAAAGTGGATAGCCTTTACTGTAACTTTATGGAATGGTTTGGGACACCCCATGAAAAGAGGAACAGGTGGTAAGTAAGGTGAACTCCAGGTAAACCTTTATGAACTCCAGGGAAACTGGTTCTTCTTGTTCTCCTACTCAAGATTGGAATCTTCTTTCGCCCAAGAAAGGTCCTCCCGTTGACACTGTTTGGGTGACTGCTGACCGCTACCACTAGACGGTTGTGACTGGTTTGGTCGAACCAGGCCTCCAGCAGAAATGCATCTTCTGGCCCTCTGACGCAGGCGTGGGATGGATCAGGGGGATGGCATGGGGATTTTTGGGGTGCACCTGTGTGTTTTCGGGTACCTTATTTTAAAGTGGAATGCTTGACTCCGATGTAGGGTGCTGAAGGTGTTTGCTTGTGATTTGTATTTATTTTTTGTGATAGGGATCCCTACACTCTGCTGCTTTTCTTCCATGTCTCTTTAGACGTCTTAGCATGCTGCACGTCTCAAAATCTCCCTCAAAATCTCATACTCAGAATCGGGTCTCGGAGCTTCTCGTCTTTGAGATGCACTGAGCTTCACCACGGCACGTGCCCGGCCGGGTTCGTCTGAGGCTTTTGGAAGGCTTTTGTGCTGAGCCTTTGTCAAACGGAACCCAACAGTCGACTTCCTTTGTGCGGAACCTCAGCGTGGCAGAACCGTGTGTCAACGCAGACACGACGACAGCGGTGGCTGGATGGGTATAGTATATACAGTATGGTACGGTATATTACTATAAATGTTCTGCACCTGCTGGGTGCAGAGTCCAGGGAACTATGTTGAAAGACAAACACCTGTTTTATATGCATGTATACTGTATATTACATTATATTACTATATATATATATTAGAATATACCATTATCTATAATACCTACAGACCCCCAGCCAGGGGGGTCGACGACCCCTTAGATGTTTTGTCGGGGTCGCAATGGGTCTTTATCAACCACCCCAACCCTAGACACTCCATGTATGGCATATTTGCATTTTTTCTTGCATTGGGGTGGTTTCAGGGGTCAATGTAAGCATATACACCATACATGGCGTGTCTGAGAACTATAGATCCTAGGCTTTCGGTGACTGTAACAGCCCGACCTTCCATGCAAGCGATCTTTCATGACGAGTTGTCAGCGATGCTTCATGATGCTTCATGGACCTTAAGAAGGGGTTGACACTTTGTGCTCAAAGAACTCAGCTCCGTAGGGATCCAGTCGTACCGAACCTCAGAAGGTGAGGAAGGAGACACTCTTATGTAGGTGCCAGGAGGGTCCAGTCGTACCTTCTGAGAAGGTACCACTGGATCCCTAGGGACTCTTGTACTACACTGATCGAGTGTGAAAACATGTTTTAAGTTGATGCAGATGTAAACAGCACTTGTCTTCCCATTGGTGCTTAGAACGTGCTGACCCGAGCACGAACACCACCGGCCACACACTGTTCGGTGGTGAAAGTGGTGAAATCGCAGCTGAGTGTGAATGGGTCATATGTTCCGACGCTTCCAGGAAGTCATTGCCGGGGGTCGTTGCCTGGGAGTTCTCCCTATTTTAATATATCCTGGAGTCTCAGTTCATAGCTCAGAAAATGGGTAGCTGTTTTTACTAGGGGTAATGTGAGTCATGTCCCATTTCAAGATGTCCTTGGCGACCGAGGAGGAGAGGCGGCATGGAGAAATTGGAGACACATCAGTGGTACAAGGAGCGAGGTTCTGATGCAAGAGATGTCCAGATGTGGAATGCGGCGATGGGGAGTTTTTACAGGTCGTTGAAGGGTATGAAAGATGATTTTGGCTGCTGCATTGGTGTTTGTTGTAACTTAGCGATACAAAACACCCATAATATATATATATATATATCTGGAGCCCATTTAACCCTTGATTTATCTTGTTTCGACAGGACGGATAGGACCATAAGTACGGTGCTTGGTGCATCTCAATGATCGGCCGGTCTCCCGACGGTCGGTGTCGAGACCGCTGAGACCCGCGTTCGATCGCCCAGGAGGATCCGGAGTTCAATTGGGCTGCCCTGGACGGGAGACCCGCCCCGTCTCCGCGGGCTTGGCGTCATGTTTGGGTGGCTCAGGTAGTACGCGAGGGAAGACACGGGGTTAGACCTATAAGAAGTTCAAGTTTTTGAGTTACAAAGGAAATGGCAAACATGTTGCATAGTTGGAAGATCACCAAAGGTCCCACATGTCATATTTTCCGCACCCACCATGAATCAGACTTTGAAGTGGCGATGTTTCTGGGGTCTTCCTGGTCGATTCTTGCGAATGACAAGACATCTCTGAGTCCAACGATTCCGTTTGATGTATTCCTCAGCTTCGTATGGCATGCTTGATGCAACAGCAACGATCCAGTTCCATCATGTATGTTCCTGCATTGGGGACCAAGCAAGTTGTGCCTCTCTGTTTAGAAGTTCCATTGCAAAGGGGAAAACCATCCAGTTCCATCCTGTATTCTCTTGTTGGGATGGCGACCCGACCACCTAAAAAGCATCGATGCTTCGGATGCTTCGGCTGCCGAACGGGTTCGGCGACCGGTCAAGCATCCGGTCGCAGGACCAGCGGACGATGCCAGCTCCATGGGTCCCAGACGTGTCATGCCACTGGGCAAACACACCGATTCGAAAGGAGTCACCAAGGAAAGGACGTGTTTCTTTTTCCGAAAATAAGTGAGCAGATGAGCAGATGAGCAGATATGGGCCACCCAATTCTATCCTCCATGGATAGCACCTCCAAGCTCCATGGAACTGGGATTTATTCTTGGATGAGAGGTGGAAGGAAGTGTCTTCTGGTAGACCCAGATGTTGGTCTATATAAAGTAATATGTATATTTACTTTTTTGAGTTGTACTGCAAGGTCAAAATCTGTTGATTCGAGTCCTGTGTTCAGAGTCCATAGTTTTCTGAGGGTTCACTGCTTCACTGGTTTTCGAGGGAGGTTTCCATGTAAACAGTTGAGTTCCTTTTCTTCAGAGGAGGGATGGTCACATGGCCACATGTCGCATGAAATTACATTTGACTGGGGCCTGTGACCATGTATTGAGGGAGGACCTCTATGTCTATTGTCATGCCATGTCATGCATGGAGAAGATGATGCTTAGGCCTCTAAATCTACATGGACCCGACTTCCAGGTGCCTTTATGAGCCCATGGTTAGTTTTCATGGGACCTCAGACCTCTTGGATCTTTTTTGGAACTGTCTGTTCACGTTGGTGCAGGGTGCCATGAACCAGGGTGGGGTGAACCAGGGTGGGGCCTCCCCCTTTTTCCAACCGGGTGTGGGGAGGTCGGCCGAGGACACCAGCGAAGGTGTTTGGATCCTCCAAACCCAGCACAGTCCACCTTTGAAACGAAGGTACTCGGAGCATTTTGGGATTATACAGTATGTTCTTCGTTTGGGTGGGAGGAAGATGGCTGATATCAAGGGGTTGGCTATGCTGACAATCCACAAAAATCAAGGCTTGCTATCCACCTCCACCTCTGCAAAGGTGTTGCCCGTACAATCCAATTGACCACTATTCTTCACACCCCAAGACCAAGACTCGGGCCGACTCGAAAGTCTTACAATCTCGAAGCTCGCACCCAGCTCCTTCCGATTCCAGCAGAGGTTGAAGAACCCGAGTCGTTCGACTAGTTAGCTACCCCAGGTAAGTAGTAGTTACGGTCACGGCAAACGTTTGTTGCCTCGTCTTCGCCCGGTCTTCGCCCGAACCGAGGCCCAAAGAGCACGAAGGGTTGGGCTCTCAAAGAGGATCCGCAGCTCGGCGGCATCGGAGCGGCATCTTTCTTTTTCCTCCCAACAATGGTCTTTCTTGAGGGATATGGGTCTTGATGGGAGCGGTACTCATATGTACTCATTAGGTATGTAGGGGCATAGTCTTCCTTTGCCCTCCCAACAATTCCCAAGAATAGGTGCTCAGAGTCTTGATCAAACCCCTCACATTGAAGAGGGTGTTACCGTGCTATGTGTTGCCATCCATGTCTGCGGGGGCGATATATGTTAATCAAGATTCTATACACCTCAGGGCATCCTTCAGAGGGATCCTGCCTTCGTGCTGTCTCTATCCTCCGGCCTCGGCCTCGGTGACGCACCTCCTGAGACCTTGGCACCGGCCCTGCAATTTCGGAAAGAAACACAAGCCATCTTCAAGTCAGGCCTTGCAAGCCATCTTTCAGCTGAGAGTGGATCGATGTTCATGTTCATGGTTCATGTTCTGTTCGTCCCAGCACCCGCGCACGGGGCCCATGGATCCCCCCAGGCTTCCTGGCCCACCATTGGTTTTAATGGTCTGACTCCCGAAGCACCATTGTTTTACTAAGGATTTTACACTACGCAACCAGGTCAACCGAACTCTTTGAATGGTCGAGCTGAAGCCTAGGGTATAGTCTTGTTTAACTTTCATCGACAGATGCCTCCCAACCTATGGATTTGGCTCCGGGTCTTCCCAGGGGTCTATTGTTCGGGGTCCTATGCACACCCGAGATCACCTGACGTAGTCGTGTGTCATGGAACTACTCAGCCTTGAGCAGCAACATGTTCGCCAGCGACATGGACTAGTCTGGACGACACGACACAAGACATCACAATGGAAGATATGGAAGTGGATGGCTTCCTTAACAAAAGCAGGTTCTTTCAACTTGCTCTTGCACATCTGTCGTACCCATCAAACGTTCTTTCAACTTGTGCTTGCGCATCTGTCGTACCCATCAAACTGACTTTTGGATACGAACTCTATCATTTATGGTATGTTCCACCCACCAGTTGCGCTCCCATCGAACCCCACAACCCATCCACAGGCCTTTGAGCACCTCCGACTGGGCCCGGCGCCTGGAGGTTCCCGGTTTGGTACCATGATAGACCCGAAGAGTCACCATTGGGTGACCATATAGACCCATTGGGTGACCTCATAGACCATGAAGAGTCACCATTATAGACCTCATATTATAGACCATTATAGACCCATGACAAATGTACTCTTTAACATATGTTGAAATCTGCGAAACCGAGAAAACCCTTGACAATCCTTAACCGAAGATCAGTCAGGACAGGCAACGTTTTGGAGGGTTGGGGTTGTCCATGATCCAATGACTTCGGATCCAAAATCTTCGAGGGTCTCAGTGGACTCAGCCTCTGGTACAAGCTTCTAATCGTCAACTGGCTCAACTGCCCCCCTGTTGTCAACGGTATGAAGATGCACAGAGGGAAGAGCTCCATATATATTATATATATATAGGACACCCCAAACGCAAGATCAACGCCTCACATGAGCCTCACATGTTTTGTTGTTCACCTTCGACGGGTGGACATTCAATGGCATTCAGAAGAACTTAGCCTATTTCGGTGAAGTCAAAGGCGCCCGATATTGTCTCGGATCTGTTTTATTGAGTATATAAGTAGGGTTTTTCATATTCCGGGGGCAGGCTATCCTGAGGATAACATGTTCACGACCGCTCAGGGGTTAAAGTTCTTAAAGGGTGGCTGCTGGCTGCACACCCGAGTCCTTCCAGGGAGTCCTTTCACAGAGTTCGTTGCAGGTCCGTGGGCCACAGACATGGGTGTTTTTTGATCTGGAGCCCCCGGAGGATCCAGGTTGCTTGCCCCTCCGGGGGCGTTAAATCAGGTCCTAGGGCCTCATGGTTTTGACCCCACGGCCAATTCTCTTTGATCACTTGGAATCTTTAAGTTGAGCTTTTGAGGCTGCGGATTTCGAGGACATCGAGGGCTCTCCACCGGAGGTCTTCAACCCATGAGGCCGTCTTAAGGATGTTCTGCATGGCAAGGAAGTACGAGAGGGAAAAATGCCACTGAAATGTTATAAGCACGACTTGTGCGACTATAAGCGAAGCTCTTTTGGGCTGTTTCAGAACAACAACCCTTTGGATGATAGGTTTTGGAGTTTCGAGCATGTTGTTTGGTGGATGTCTTTCGCTTGCACGCACAGCTTCTTTGCAAAGGAGCAGAGAAGCCAATGGGGCAAGGGATAACCTACTGAGTTTGATGGTTTCTCTCTTATCAGCCAGATGAACATCAAGATTGCCCAGTAGAACAGTTGGAATTCCACTTACTGTATAATTAGTGATGTTGACTGTTGAATACTGTTGATCAAGAACCCCCATATGGCGATGCTTTACCACACTAAGGTAGGGCCAGGTAGGGGCTTTGATCCATATATAAATCATACATCTTGGATTCCCAGTGGTTCCAGTCCGATCCACATGTCCACCGCCACCGGGCCACCGGGCGACCCGCTGGCATCTGTATCGGGTGGAAGGGGCGGATTGGGCATCTTTCGAGCGACCCCCCACCGGCCCAATGAGTCTGACCGATTTCGGATGCAGGTCCACATGCGGAAGACAAGACTCTCACAGTCTCCGGTCGTACCTGCGTGGGTCATTTGGTGTGGGTCAAAGGGGTGGGCAGTCCCAAGACTTCGGTTGAGGTCTTTGGTGGTGGCTGGGGATACCTTTTGAACCGTCTGCACCGGCTCGAAAAACCGACCAACGACCCAATTCAAGTACAAAAAAAGACACGAGCTGTTCGCATGGTCCGGATCCTGATCGAACTAAGAGATCTGTATCCATGGATGTGCGAGTATATCCGAGGTGGTGCAGGATTTCAAAACAGAATCCAATGCTCCCCTCGAAAATGGGTTTCGATCACTGCGCTGGTTCCCAAGACTAGCCTGTCAACCTTGGTTGAGGCAACCTCTTCAACCTGCTCGGCGGTTTTGCCGCGTGCCGCGTTCCAGGGGCGTTTGTATAGTAAGAGCCCTCGCGGAAGCCTCTGTTGGCACAAAGAAAAGTCTGAGTTGTTCCTGTCGGGCCATTCACTTGCCATTTTGTGGCCCAAAAGGTTCTGTACAAGCAATGCTTCTATAAAGAACACCTTCAACCGAAGTGCATTTGTCACATGTCATCTCTATGATTTTCGTGTAATTAGAGCCAATAGAGCTACTCAGTTTTCCACACCCAAGGGTAGCCCTGCGTAGTGCGTAGCCATCCAACTTAGCCATACAATGACCTTGGACATTCAGCTGTATAGTCCCTAGGGCTGCAAGCACATCCTCAGAAGGCACTCACTCCAACCACCTTCACCTTCAAAAGCAGGCAGGGTGACGTGTCAACCAGACCAACCACTCTTTTCTGCCGAGGCTAGCCCTTCACCGCTCTCCCCGCGCTTCCTTTTGTGTTGCTCTTATTAAACACATATTCAAAGAATATTCCTGGACCTTCAAGGGGTGTCCAGTGGAGGTCCCTTAGTGGTGTAGGGGCTTTCATTGGTGACCCCTTTGAAGGTGCTGGTATAGTTATATGTTGTCATGTTTGTCCTTCCTTTTGGCTCCAATCGCCAACGAGATGCTCTCCGTCAGCAACCATGTTCGCCCGAAGCTCGTCCTTCGGACGTGCGCGTGGAACCTCGGGTTGGCCGCCGGGCATCTGGGTCTCGCCAGAAGCGAAGGCAGCGACTGGAGTTTGGTGTTGAGGATGTTGGACATTTGACGGAGCTTGGTCTACCAGTGAAGATGTTCATGCGTGAAATTGGGTCATGTCCTTGGACGCTTTGGCATCTAAAAGGAACTTCAATATCCGTTGTGCCGAGCAGTTCATGAAGAAATTCTAACAACTGAAACCGCCTGTTCCTTCCAGTTCCCTCTCGTGTCCAGCACACCAGCTGCCCAGACGCTCATGGGCCCTCATATAGATGGGTCTGGGGTCTCAAATCCCTAGGTTTTGAGGGACCAGTCGGGCTGTGAACGGGGCGTCTGGGTGGTTCTGGAAAGTGCATGAAAAAGGTACCTCAAAGCAATTGCAAGGCGTGAACCTTTGGTGCTGACCAAGGCGTGCCCAATCCTGTGGAAGGTCCGCGTGTCACGAACACAGCACCCCGTCGCACTTGGGCCCCTACGTCGCAAATGCGCGAGGGATCCCATGGCAAAGGGGTATTTTCCAACAGATTGGTTCATTATTGCACAGCAGCGGGCTCAGGCTTTTGAAGCTTTTGGGAAAGTGCAGAAGATGCGAGCTTGTTTTGAGCTAGAAGTGTAAGGTCACCTGCGCAAAGCATGGTTGTTGTATTCTTTGTTCACACCTTCAACAACAGAAGCTAGGATGCTATAGGAGAAGATTTGAGAAGATCATCAACCTCTCTTTACTTGTGTCATTTGCAGAGTCCAAATGCTGTTTTGCTTCTAATTTTCTACTAAGCTTGGTTTGCTTTTGACATCATTTCCCAGAATCGAAGCCACAGTCGGTCGCTCTGGAGACAATCAGTTTTGCAGACTGTTCTGGAGGATCCTGTTTTGCAAGACATGCCAAGGACAGCATGATTGCCATTGAGTCGGACAATCTCCAGTTCTGATCGTAAAAGCAGAAGAAGCATTTGTCAAGCCCCCGAACACTCAGAGTTCACAGTTGATAGACTGCAGCACCATGGATTCTTGGCTTCTTTCCTGGCCTGCCAATTCGTCTTCAGCCAGTACAGGGACCGCCATCGGTACCACTTCCTCGGGACCAGAGACGGTCCCGGTCCGCGTGAGCCTTCAGTCAGAGAGATCGAGTCGGAACGTGACCGTGGGGCGTTGGTCGAGTGTCTCCGAGCTCCACGGGTGAGGCGAATTCGTTACGCCGCAAAACCGGAAGATGGCGGTCTGATGCTCCATCTGACGTGGGGCGTGGAACAAAAGGAAAAGGGTGGAGAATTGGTAAAAGTGGAGCAATTGGCTTTTGCATGCTTTTGCTTTGGAGAATCTGCAGACCTTTCAAAGATAGACTTTTGGACCCACCTGACCTGATCATTCTTTACTTCTTTAATCTTCTTTAACATTCCTGCATGCTTGTTCCATAATGCTTATACAGGAGTTTTCCTGGTAGATGTTTCCACAAATCTCATGAATCTTTGTGCGATCCTCTTCACGGCCTCACAACAAATGCCTCGATCCTTTGGCTCTCGCGAAGCCTATGCAGCTACGCATGCCCGCGTGCCACCGATGCGAGTGGCGGTGACTCCTGGAACCTCCTGGAACTCGTTCCGCCCAAAGGTAGACACTCCAATGGACAAAGGTTCTAGTCATGAGGTTGTTCCGATGCTCCAGTCGTGTGTTCTGGTTGCAACACTGAGTGACTCCCCTCTCAACCCTGGGTCTAGACGGTCTACCCCGTACCTTCGATGCTTCCTGAGAAAGAACATAGAAAAAGAAACAGTATAGAAGCGCAAAACTGTCGTTTTGTCATACTGGCCAGTCGAGGGGGGATCCTTCTACCCTCCATCCACCTCAGAAGGCGTTTGGGGTGGACGCCTGAGGGGTTGCCCCTACCCTCTGAGGATGTGGTTGGATCCCTACTATAGGGTCTTATATAGTACAGTGGTGCCCCGGAAAACTCCAGGTGGTGAGAAGTGGGTCGTCTCGTCTCTTGAACGAAGAGAGGGATGTTTAGGGTATGACTTCTAGTTTGATCGGAACACTGGACCGAATCAAAATGAATCAAATGCCCAAAGGCTCATTGGACCCTCAGTTCGCTCGGGTTTTGACCCTGACTCACCGGGTGAAATGGACTGAACCAATGTCATGTAGCCGCAGTTGGTTCGGAACCGAACCGTTCGCCTCTGGGTGATTCGATGTAATCTGTTTAGTTTTGAAGGGGTGTGTTTTTGAGGTCTCAGGAGTCTTCATCCACCAACCCCTGGGAACCCGATATTCGCAGATCTCGAAGAAGAAAGCCTGGCGCCAAAGAAAAACGTGGCGGAAGGCTGATATTTCAGGGTGTGCTTCCACCCACGCCCACACACGCGTGGCTGGGTGGGTGGGTGGTTGAAGGGCTTCTCGAAGTGCAACATCCTTAAGTTGGATACTTCCAGACTTCTGCCCTCTTAACTGATTGTGGGGGTGCGTTTAATCCAAGCACGAAGCGATGCCATCTCAACGCTTGTCACTAAGTTGTGTACGATGAGATTCCATGCAGATCCACAGTAGCTCCATGTTGTCCCCATGTTTGGTGGCTCAGTAGGGTTGGAAGGGCCTTCTAGATTTACCATGTGAAAACTCATCACTGTGTTGCTTCAGTGTTTTTCATCACTTGGCACTGGCATTTTGAGCTGAAAGCAGACAATCACTTAAATTAGTCCCATCGGAACGCTGAAACATGCTGAAACACTTAATAAGCGCAACAACATCTTTGGAGTAGAAATCCCAAATGATACGCATCTGGCAGCATTGAACCGTTTTCTTCTCTTGATCTCACAGCTCTCGCTCTTGCCACATATTTTCCTCGAATCATACACACATACCACGTAATTAGCAACCGTTTATCATAGGCACCAGCATTGATACACAGCGAGTTGGACGTGTGGAATCCCGTTTTCAGCGGATTGTTTTTCACTCCAAAGACCTCCAGATGACGAAGCATTTGCTTGCATGCTGTTCTCTGGCTCCCCCAAAAGGCCAGAAAAGATAGACAGTCCCGGTGTAGTCGACGTGTTCTTTTCGCCGACTCTTGGGGGGTTCTGGCCCAGACTCGAGTCAGACCTGGATTTGCGGATCGGGGTCATATTGATGTTCCTGGTTCCTAGGTGAATGCCCATCCCATGGGGAAGATGTCCCAGAAACTCCATATGGGACTGGCATATGTGCCGCCCCAGGTCAACCCCAGGTCACAGGGGTTCCTGATCGACATACGCCATCAAAATGGCTCCAGCTACCGCTTCCAGGGCCTCTACAGCTCGGGTGTCCAATGAGTGCGCCCCTAGCAACACAGGTGATAGCCGCGGTGTTCATTCACCACCCCAAGGCCCTGGAGGCCCTGGAGGCCCTGCCAGTCCCCAACTGCTTAGTGTTTGGACCGTCCGTCCGAGCGCGCGCGGGTCCTGGCAGCCTGTCCTGTCGCACTGGGCGCTTGGACCTTCTGGCTCTGGGTCGTGACCCACCGACTTCAGCCCGCCCAGCATGTAGCGCAATAAAAAGGCACCAGGTAATTAGGTCAACCAAGCACAAGGTATCTGCAATATCATATCCTAGGTTTTGACACGTTATAGCACTGTATATAATAGAATCACTGTGGGACGACGATGCGTCGTATGTCATTTCCCAAGTACTTGCACCGCTCATACGACCTGGTCCGTTGAAGCTATTCAGATCCCTTCACTTCCAGGAGTATAGAAGCTCCAACGTGGAAATCCAATCATGGCAGTGGATGAAAACCATATGACACCGATAGTTTTGACATGAATATCTAGGAAGTTCATTGAACTTCCAAGGTTTCCAAGAGCAGACATCCACTTCTGCGGAGACCCGTTGAGTGTTCAAGTTGAATTTCAATCCTTTACAGTATATAGGAGGGCTTTTAGTCCCAAACACACCTAGCAAATAGTCGAAGTTCTCTCAACATGTCCCCCGACATCACGTGGCACCTGAACCAACATGTCCATCCATCCGGTCCGTACGATCCACGAACCTGATCCGTCCTCCAGCAGTGGGGGAGGGCCTTTCAAACCGATCCAAAACGGAGCGATCGATCGGGAGCGGAGCACCGCGAGCTGCGCGCCTCCCTGGAGGTGGGAGATGGGTCCGGTGTGTCCGGTGGGTGAGCTGAAGAGGTGGGTCCGGGTCTGCCGAAGCAAAGGCTTTTTCATTGGGAGTCTGAAGATGCAGATGTATGCATGGCTGTGAGTCAAACACCGGAGAAGAGTTAGAGATTTCCCAACTCTGAACAGACGTGGCCCTAGTGAACGGTTGAATCGTTCGGAGTTCCACTACCCGATCCTTCCTTCCCCCCAACAAAAATGGACGACCAACTCATTCGACTCCCACGTCTTCCCGTGAAAAAAAAACG